TGATGATAGGCAACCGCTTGGGCCGGAACACACCCGTGCGCTAAGGGCAACGGGATAGCTCAATCAGCTTGGGCAAGGGGCTGGCGAAGTGAAGGACATGCTTGAGCCAGGCCCACATGCCAAGCCTCCCTTGAGTATCGGTAGCGCAGTGCCGGTCCAACACTGTCCCCATGAGCAAGTGTGCGTCCATGAGGAACCCTGGTAGCCATGCTAGCCGTTAACCAGGGCCGCCCCGCAAGGGGATGAAGGTCTAGGAGTGCCAAGGTTAGGCACCCAAGGAGGTCGACCACCCCTCCTCAAAGAGTACGTTAAGCTTTTAGTGGTCTGCCTGAAGATGACATCAGTTCTCCCAAAAATCTTACAGGCRAAAATGACGGGCATGTCCCTAACGTAAGCCTACCAAGCGTAGGCAAGGCTAAGCCTGCTTTGAACCGTAACAGTAGTGTCACGGTTTTACACACACGCTTAACCTTACTTACGCTTGATAGGCTTATGTTGAATGGCACTTTGAGGAGGGGTGGTTGACTTCGCCTTGGTTAATAGCTAACATGGCTGCAAGGGTTTATCATGGACACACAAATGTTCATGGAAATAGTGCATGAACCAGTATTACACAACACACATGAAAGGGAGGCTTTCCATGTGAGTCTGACCTAAGCATGTCCCTACACCTCACTAGCCCCATGCCTAAGTTGATCGAGCTACCCCGTTGCCCACAAAGCACGGGTGTGCTCAGGCCCAATGGTTTCCTTACACATCATCGGCACATAGGTGCCCACATCATCAGCACAACTTGTACCTCTCATCATGGCAATCCCCCTTTGGCACATAAGAGGCGCCTCCCATGGATCGACAAGAGCCATAGATAGCACTGGCCATGAACTGCGAGGTCATGATCCAGTGCCACTGACCTTGATGGAGCCATTCATCAGACCAACACATGGCCCTTACACACACATCAGGCTTGTCCTGGCCGCACATGGCATGGACATTGCACGTGTTTCTTTCGTTGTAGACATACCCTCGTGATAGTTGGTATCAAAGCACATCAGCCAATTACTGCTATAGTTGGTATTAGAACAAACAACAATGCTAATTGAAGCGGTCATCTCATCAAGCAACCACATTGTGGGGTGCGGTCCCTCGGCACTCCCACTCGGTTTCAAGCAAGCATCAAGCATCAGGCCTAGCAAGAGGTCATTCATTATGCCTCCATTCCAATGACCCAAAGCAACACTCATGTGGGGGCAGACGCATGGGCTATCTCATGGAAGGCATATTGTGGTGGTTTGAGTGGGGGAGTGCCATCCTCACAGACATTCGTTCCTATTCATTTTGGTGAGGTGTGGGTGGTGCACCTACATCTTGGTTTCATGACGTACTAGCCATTATTCCGTAGCTTGTCAAAGGCACAACTAAGGTGGGGACGATAGTTCAAAATTGGTCGGTGTTGATGGTTAGTCAAGGAATATCACTAAGGTGGCAGCTTTGCTACAAAAAGGGTCTATAGTTGAAGCCACAATATTGGAATGATAGGAATGTGGGTACACTAGCCATTGGAGCATGGCGGCCTAGCACCGGCACAGCATCGGAGGACATGCTCAATTCAACACCGGTGGAACATTCGCAACAACAACACATTGCACAAGCAAATGCATGTTCGATAACATCATGGGTAAAAGATGCCACCACTCGCGCACATTGCAGTCAGATCCTTGATGATAAACACATTAGGGCCCCTTCGGAGTGAATAAGTAGCCCAGACACAACGAGGTGAAGTGTAGTTTCAAGGGCCAAAAGAATATAAGTCATGGCTAGTTTTGAGTAATCCGAACACATTGAAGTGAAATCTGTAGGCCAACATGGTGAAAGGGTTTCCCATTACACTACGCCAACAGCAGGAGAAGACCTTGAGTTCGGTAACACCACCGAAAAGCTACCAAGAAGACAATTGAGCGTTGAGGTAAAAAGAACATGGGGCAGACCTCCATGAAGCATCACACACTCACTTCTTTGAGGGCCATATATACACACATCGAGGGCATAGCCATTGCACGGCTTGAGTAACCCCAACACAATGGGTGAAGTCCAAACAAGTCGGCATGGTGAAATGGTTCCATCCCCATAAATGATACCAACATAAGCGAGACCCATGTTGACTAGGCAGCCCTAAATTGGAGCACAAGTGGATGACGTAGGACATATATGCCCATTCACAAAGGAGCCATTGTCGGGATGACAACAGATTGAGCGGGGGAACCTATCATGGTCTCACACAGGCTTAGCCTTACCTATGCTTGGTAGACTTATGTTGAGTGGCACTATCGTAAATATTGCTAGTATGGTTTTTCATAAAAGTGATGTTTCCTATTGGTAGACTTCCAAAAGCTTAATGTACTCTTTGAGGAGGGGTGGCTAATCTCCTTGGATGTCTAACCTTGGCACTCATAGACCAACATCCCTTACGGGATGACCCTGGTTAATGGCCAACATGGCTACCAAGATTCCTCATGGGCACACACACACACACACACGCACACACTCATGGGGACAGTGAATGGACCGGTACTGTACAATGCACATGAAGTTGGGGCTTTCCATGTGGGTCTACCCCAATCATGTCCAAGGTTCAAAATATCATTACATATCAGCCAACATCGGCCAATACGTACCATATCGGGGCCTTCCCAATACGCCCTTACAGGGGATGTATCGGGTCAAGCCATGGCTCAAAGGGTAGCCAGGACTTAAGCCAACCCCTTTGAACCGGTTTTGAAAAAATAAATAAAACATTAAAAAAGCATCGATACAAGTCGATACGCCCTACCAGCATATTGGCCTGTATCGATATTTAGAACCTTGATCATGTCCCTACACCTCGCCAACTCCATGCCTAAGTTGATCAAGCTACCCCGTTTCCCATAGAGCACGGGTGTGCTCAGGTCCAACAGTTTCCTTACACATCATCAACACAACTTATGCCTCTCATCATGGTGATCCCCCTTTAGCACATAAGAGGCACCTCCCATGAACTGGCAAGAGCCAATAGATAGCCCCGATTATGAGCCGTGAGGTCATGATCCAGTGCCATTGACCTTGATGGAGCCATTCATTGGGCCAACACATGGCCCTTACACACACATCAGGCTTGTCCTGGCCGAACATGGCTTGGACGCTACACTAATTTCTTCCACTGTAGACATACCCCATTACAATAGGGCGTGTATGGGACACATTCTGTACTGTGGGGAGCCAATACGAACTCCGAGTCTTCGCCCAGGAATCTCTCCGCATGGGGAGTCAATACACGGTTGGAATGTGCTATAGGGGAATCAGGATTTGCTCCTCATATAGACCTCACTTTCACAGCTACACATCTTGCCTTAGAGTTTGGATTTGCTCCTCACACCAACCTCACAACGCGTCCCAGCCGCACATGAGAACATCTCTCGTACTTTGTATTGTTATTCATGAGGAGAAGTTGGGGCTATGAAGTTGGTTTGAGGAGCGCTCTATGAGGAGCATATTTCAATTCCCTGGCGTGTCTTGGGACATCTCCCGTTATGACATATAAGTACGGGAGATGTTCTTGATGTGCAGCTAGAACATGCTCATGAGGTCCGTGTGAGGAGTTTGGATTTATTCATCACAGAGCGTGCCTCACACTGACCTCATATCACATTTCAATCGCACATTAGAAACATCTCCCCATGAATAAAAATTTATAATTACAGAGATGTTCCAATGTATGGCTGAAACGTGCTATGATGTCCGTATGAGGCGTGCATGGTGGATCCTATGTGAGGAGCAAAAATGGTTTGGTCTTGAGATTGGTTTTTAAAACATTGATTTGTACAAGAGGGCATGGATATTCAATCTTTGGGCTAGGTCTAGTCTGGAAAATCAGGATTTTTTATTTAATGGATTAGGCCCAAGCTTGACGCTTGGATAACACGAGTCCGAATAGAGTACAAACACATTAGTAAATGTATACATGCTTTGCATGTGTTTAAATTTTTCTATAATTTTTTATATTTGTGTGTATAAAAATAATTTTTATTTGAAATATTTAATTTTTGTTTGATATGAGAAACATCAAAAATGTGTCTAAATGTTTTATACAAAATGTATATTTTTTACAATTTTTGTTTTCTATCTTTTTAATTTTTATTTTATTTAGTTATAACATGGCTCAATAGTTGGCTTACTCCATTGTAACCTTTAAGCCATCCCCATCACAAGCAACAATGCCAATACCAATCATAGAGTGATTAAGAGCACCATCAGCATTCATTTTAATCAAATTCTCAGGTGGTTTGCACCAACTCAACTCAGCCTAGTGCATAGATATTGCCCCCTCGAAGGTTGGGATGTTCAATAATTCACATGGTTTTCAAAATACCAAACTGGATTGGACGGTCGGATCGGAAAAATCGGGAACTGGTCACCTGATCGGTTTCGTTTTTCCCAAAAACTGTTGATTTTGGTCGGCGAACCACTGAATCAGGCGGTTAATCGTTCAGACAGTTTTGACCTTTTTTTTTTATTTTTCTGCCAGAACAGGCCTAGTATTTGGTTCAAACGGTCGGACCGTTCAACCCAGTAACCGAACCCCTGACCGATTCGGTTTTAAAAACCATGATAATTCATATGCACCAACCCAATTCACCCTTATAATCATTCGATCTAACCACCCTCTTACCTTTATTTTTCCTTATCAAGGATTTCGTTCATATCCTAGCCAGAAATTCCAGCCATTCTTAACTTCAATGCCAGTCTTTTCTGGCAAGATTATCACTTGAAACTCTCTATTGCCAGTGAGAAAGTTTCTTAGGTCCCGATTGAATCTCTGAGAATTCTGGAACAAACTTCATCTCAAGCAGAGGAAATCTGAACCTCTTCCTTTGTTTCCCCCTCTCCACGCGTTCTTCCCTACTGTACGAAGCTCTACCCAATCCCTCCTACAAGCCTACTTGTAAGCTTGGACTCATCGCAATCCACCAACGCTCTCAAATTTAAGCCATTTGAACCCGCACCCCCTTCCTCCTAATTCATCAATTGTCTACCCAATCTCTCTGCTTTCTCTTTCGTCGCTTGTCCTTCTTGAAACCACAAAACTACCCCCACATCACCAAACTATTCACCTTCTTAATCATGCCTACACAGTTTTTGACACCCAAACCACACACAGCTACGTAAGCAGAGAGCATGACCTGATAGGAAGGCCAGCTTGGCCTGATTTACTCTAATTTAAGTGTTAATGAAATTTACTCTGACTTGCTAAACTATATATGCATATTTTTGTTCTCCTTTCATTTCTCTGTTTCTAAATATATCCCAATAGTTCACATTCTACATAATGTACAACATTAAGGTTCAAAGTATCAATACTCTCAATTAGAAAAATGGATCTTACATCATTCAATACTCTTTTCTTTTTTTCATCATTTTGATTTGATACTTTAATAAAAGAAATACCACATCTGTTACTGATGTACAAAACAATTAAAAAGGTTAAAATCTCATGATATTACGTATCGATGGCCCTAAAAATCGATCATAACAACGGACTACAATGCATATCAATACTTCGAACCTTGACGATGATGATTACGTCTATGTATTTATACTCAGTAATTTGAGCATATATGAAGAAATTTTTGGCAGCCTGACTAATCCATGCAAAAAATGTCAAAGACAAGTCCATTTCCAATTACCGATACGCTTTGTGATAACAGATATTTTTAACCTTGCTTATAGTTGTTTTCATGCATGACAGCATGAGATGAGAGACAGGAAGATGAGAAATATGGTTTTATAGGGTGGCAAAGAAGAGAAATAGGTATTTGAGTACAACTTAGATGGACCAGAATGAGTGCATCACTGCTCCCTTTTTAAAGCAATCATTATGTTCAAGTTTCCAATAAATACAACTCTAGTCGTAACTGATTGATTTATCTTTTTATTCTGGATTATTCGACTTCCTTTAGTAGCAAAAGAAAAAAAAAAAAGATCTAGTAAATAGAGATTCATGTGTTTGTTTTAAGTTATGCTTATGAAGAAAAAATAGGACCAAAACAATATCACACGACGGTCACTCACTCAGGTTCTTCTACATGTGTTCAGAGTTTCCTCGTTTCTTCTTTTGGTAGCAAGATTATCTGACCTGTGATCTCAAAATTGCCGCCCTTGTTAATGAAATCCACCTGAATTTATCATTACACAGGAAGGTCCTTTTACACATTACCCGAAAGCCCAAACCTGTTTTGAAGCTTTACAACATCCCTGCATGCAGCATTCTTTGAGACTTCCAGTCTGGAGCAAGCTAAGTAACAACAGGATGTTGGCAGGTCAGATCCTGATCATTCCAACAGATTGAATTCCTTTGAATTTTTCTTTCATCATCTCCAGGAAGGGTCACTCTGAATTGCCCTGATTTGGTTCCTGAGCATCGTCACTATTCTTATTGTCATTGGGCTGTGAATCATTAGCTATGTTAGTGACCAACAAAGAATAGCTCTGAGCCACATTACTCTCTTGCTGCTTTGTCAATTCATCCTCATTATCTGTATCTGTTGCAGCAAGATATGATACTCCAAATTTCTGCCCATGAGTTAATCCTGGACAGAGCCCCTGTTAAAAATACAAGAAAATACACAACAGATAGAAGAAATATTTTAATGTCCAACTAAACATTATTTAAATTACTTTATCATGAATACTGAATGGGAGTGGTACTAACCTTGATCACACCAGATACTGAAATGAAGTTACGGTATAGAGGGTCTGATGGAAACCTATTAGGAACCCAACTTTCATGCAATGTATTATTAGCCTCTTGAGGATCAACTGAGATATCTGATATTCGTGATCTCTTTCTAATATCATCATTTTTGCAGAATGCCCCAAAGTAAGAGCAATGCTCATTTACTAGAGATATTTGAGGTGTTGCTGGCAGTAAGTGGCCTTCAGTGCTGAATATATACCTGCAGGTGGGAGATTTTCTAGAGTAAATTCAAGAAATAACAAAAGAAAAATGAAAATCTCTTCCCTGCATGCAAGATGGATCAAGACCACAGTCACATGCTTCTGGTAAAAGCCATCAGACATTTGCTATGTTCTTGATTTTCTAGTTCCTCAGACAATCTAGACAAAAAGATACATATACTTACTTATATGGACCATTTTCAACCAGGTTGTCTGACCCCGCAGCCAAATCAAATAGAAGCCATAAATATTTAACCTGAAATTTGTTGTTAGGTGATTGGTAATGTGCAATGAAAAAAAAAAGAAAAATAAAAGGAAATTAGATAAACACCAGGTGGTGTCAATAGGGTCAATGGATAAAACTCTCCTCCCTGCTATTGCTCTATACATTGTACACATAGAAAGGGGATTCTTAAACTATTTTACAGCCTTCACCAAGGAGATCTCCTTGGTCCAAAGTTAAAGAATAAGCCATCCAATCTCTTTGTACTTTATGTGCATCCAACTATTTATTTCAATCCATACAACAGATAAACAAAGGAGATGTTAAGGAAATTCTAATAGGTCAATGCTTGCTAGGAAGACACCTAAAATGGAAATGAATAAAAGGGAGGCCCGAAGACGAGGAAATACCACATATATAGCAGACAGGGCTTGGACACACAAATGTAGTGTGGTCAGGACCTTCATCCAACAGATCAACTCAGGGAGATCGTTGCTAATCAAGATTTAACCTGATCAATCAACTTATCAACACACACATATCATCTATGAATTCCACTTTCAGGAATATCCACAATTCATTATTTGCTATTGGGGACAAATCCAATGATTGGATGACTAGAACTATTTCTCAAAGAGAAGCTTTACCTACAAAATCTGATTGTTAGACAGTGATCCCTGATGCTCTACACATTTTTCAAGATAACAATAACTTGCCTAGAACAAACAAAAAACTAAACCACGTGAGAAACTATAAACTTGAATAACCTATATTTGAGTTGCTCTTACTGTTTCAGCAAGGAAAAAGCTCTCCATGTGGTCTTCTTGTTTGTGAGACACCACATCAGATATGTGGCAATATCCACAAGGGCATCGGGCCCCATATTGGAGGCTGGCAACCATTTCACGTCCAGCATCAAGGTATCTGTAAAAAACAACTAAAAACAATTTAAACATGCTGAAACAACAATATTTTAAAAGGCATATGAGGCCTAAGCCTTAAGACTTCCCTCAAGGTGAGGCCTAAAGGGGAAGACCCCAAGACAACCTTGAGGTTCATGCCTAAAAGTACAAGGAACTGGCCTTACACCTTGAGATGCCTTATGTCAAGTAGAGTTCCGTTGACATTAATTCAAGTAGGTATCTCATCCTAAAACCAAATTAAAGACCAATTCTAAATTTTCCGTGTGTGTATGATTTGTTTAAATATTTAAGATTTTCAACACCCAGTTAAGGTTTCATTTTACATTTGAACCTTTCCAATAATCTTGAAGGATTTGTAAGGAAAAAATTGGAGGAGGCAAGTGCAAGTCCAAGGAGCTTCTATGGATCATTTTGCAAATGCCAGGGTAAAGACGAAGGCTGTGGAATAGAAAGATACCATTTGAGTATTGTAAGAAGCCTGAGCAAACTAAGGATACTACTAGAAATTACATCCACATCTTACCAACTAGGTTCAAGAATAACAATAATAGTATGAAGACTGGGAAGAGTGGATACTATTATTTCAAAGGGAGAAAGGGTCCAGTGATGAGAAATTAGCTATGGAACAACTTTCAGCTGTGAAGGCAGAATTTGAGAGAGATAACAGACTTATTAACCATCTGGAGACCACAGTTACCACTTCTAACTCTTCAAGCAATGCATCTTCATCCGCCTTGGCCCACTCATATATTTGTGCCTCTGTAAATCATGCAACTATTCCAGGTAATCATAGAATTCCATAGAAAATAGATTCCAGTGCTTCTAATCATACGGCCAGCCTGTTTAACCTTTTTAGTTCTAATCAACTCCTTTCTATCCGTAACAAGATATCCTTTACCAATGGCTCTCTTGCCCCTATCTTTGGCAAGGGAGGCATCAAGACCTCAGATACCCTTAATCTATCCTCTGTTCTCCATATTCCCAAGCTTATACTAACCTTCTTTCTGTTAGTAGCTTAATCAAATCCTTGAATTGCAACATAACCTTTTTTTTTCACTTATTGTGTTTTTCAGGGGTTGCAGCCTCAGAAGATGATTGGGAGTAGCCATGAGGTGAATGGAATATATTTGCTGGATCAATGATTTAAAAGGTGTGCCTAGGCACATTTTAGGGTATGTGCCTCGCCTAGGTCCCAGGCATAGTATTTTCATAAAGGCATGTGCCCGTTGCACCTTGCCAATGTTGCTCATTCATTCATCCTAATAAAAGATATTTTAAAACACTTAAAAGTTACAAAACCCTTCTTTTTATAGCGATTAAGAATTTAAGATCCTAATACGGACTAGTTTGGGCTTGCTTCAAGGAGCTTGGTGCAAAGGCAGCTTGTAGAATCAAGAATGCATAATGTTTAACATTACATTAGCTCTTTGAAATGCAATTGGGGAAAAAAATAAAGAGATTAAGAGTTTATATGCTTGAATATGTTTTATATGTTATGCTTGAATTTATTTTTAAATTTTCATTTTAAATATGTTTTACATGTTATGTTTATGTATTTTAATTTGAGATAATATGTTTTTCAAAGCATCTATTTTAAAATTTAAGTTTATATGTGTAATTAATAATTTGTTTAATATTTCAATAATTTGCACCTTTTTTTGAATTTTTTTGGCATTTTTTTGAATTTTCGAATTTTTTGCATTTTTTGTGCCTTGCTTCAAAAAGGCATGCACCTCGTCTTGTGCCTTGCGCCTCGGGTGCAAATGGCCCTTGTGCTTTTTTTTGCACCTTGCACTTTTAAAACACTACCATAAACCCCTAATTGCAGATAGCTCTTCCTAGAAAAGGTCCTTGTCTCTATACGAGTTAGGGGCATAAACATTTGTCAAGACCCATTCCCTTTGGCCACCACATTTTTAGCTTTTATTTGTAGAGATGATGAGGGCTAATATTGTAATTTTACTTTTCTTTATTTCTTTTGTATACTTCTTTGTACACTGTTGTACATGACTATTCTTGTAAGGAGTAAGGACGGAACTGTCCATCCACATATTAAGATAAACTATAAAGATCTTTCTTTCTGGGTGTGTGAGACACAATACACACCCCACCAATTCATGTGACTCTCTTTCATCTTCTTCTGTTCGACTGGAAATAACATTATTGAGACTGAAAATTCGTGTGACTCTCCTAGCATTCCACTCCCTTATTTCTCCATACTGTCAGTATTCCACCTGAAACACCCCTAGAAGAGGCATAAGATTAGCTCAACCCCCTACTACCCTAAATGCTCCTTATCCATTTCCTGTCCAGTTCTAAGAACTTTGTTTCTTGTAACATTAAAATACCTGGTCTCTCTTTTCTTAAAACATTTATTATAACTCTCCTTTTCTTACAACTCCCTAAACCCCTTAAATTCAAGCAAAGAATCTTCATTCCAATCTTTTTAAGACACACTAACCTTCTCCACCACACTACAACTCCCCTCTCCTTTTTTCTCTCTTTCGGCTGTCATCCTTGTCATAAGACACTCCACATGCCAATTTCTCAACTTCACTCGGTTCTACTCCCTGTTCAGGTGGGGTTGGTTCAGTCGGAGAACTTACACGGATTATGAATTTCTTTAATAACCCCATGGGTTCCCTTTGACCGGGCCTGACTTTGTGTTCGATTTCAATACCTCCGCATATGAAGCTTTAGGCGTCGTTATTAAATTCAAAGAAATTTGAATTTTTTGACCTAAAAGGAAATTGGACCATTCTTGCATTCACGTCCAAATTTTCAATTTCCTCACATTTAACAACTTTGCGAATTTTCAAGCTCTCCACCCAATCTCTTCCACATGGCACCCAAACCTCCATGCCAGCATTGTCTTCTTTCTTCAACCCTGGTAGCCAAAGCGTTGCTTTCACTTCTGATGCCAACCACATCGTTCTCCACCAATCATCAATAAATAGTTCTAGTGCTCGGGGAACATTTTCTGATTTCACCCCCATGACTCTGAGCTTGGCTGCACTCAGGTCCTGTGAGAAGTAAGCTTCTAGGACACCACCACTCACTGCTGCAAATTTCTCAAAGATGTACTTCTGCCACAGATTAAACGGCAATAATGGCAATGCTTCCTTCTAAAAATTCCTTTTCATTGCAAGAAGGCAATCAATTTTCTACCATTATCAACCCCTTTTTTGTTTTAAAGGTTAACAAATCAGTATGAACCTCCCCCAAATCTAATATTGCTTTCTTTTCATTGAATGGAATAAGAAATGACTTTTCCTTTGTTTGAATCCTCTCCATTACTGCTTCCAGGATTTCTTTCCAATCATCAACTTTATACCTTGCCAATATTTCCTTTATCTTGTCCCAACCTATCTTCTTATCTTCCCAAATTACTCTTGGTATTGTTGTGGTAGACATAATCACAATTTCTTCTGTGTCTACCAGATCTTCCTCTTCAAAGCTGTTGATACTTTCATTTTTCATTAGCTTCTCACGTTTTAACAGAATCTCTTCTACGGCCTCAGCCATCATCAAAATTTTCATTGGCTTCTCATGTTTCTTTTTGTTCAGTGACTAAATTCTTCGATTCTCACATTTTGTAAGAGTAATGAACCACCCATTTTTGCTTCTACTTTTTTTTTTGATAATTTGTTGAAAAAGAAAATCTGGATACAAACTAAAGGCAGGTATTAAGATAACACCCCCCAGGCCCAACGACTACTACATTTAACCGCCTACAACAAAGAAGAAACCAAGAAAGAGAAACATGAGAAAGCACAAACACTGCACCAGCCAATCAGATCCTATGTGCAGATCAATCTTCCGCCTCATCAAACTCTTCTGGGCCTCCTTCCTCATCCCTCATCCCAAATTCCTCCCCTCCTAAAAAGAACAAATCCAAAGACTTTCCAATTCCCACCTCTCTATCAACTAGAGTCTTCAAGTCCACTCCTCTTAACTCTGTTGCCTTATCCCCCACCATCACTTGACTCCCTTCAGCAGAAACCTCTTTGGGACTTCACCACAGGGAAAACCTTTCCAGCCCCTTCAGAAGAGAGAGGGATGACTCCAGACACGAGTTCTCATGACTCGAGGAGTTATTTTTCACACCTTTTCTTCTGTAAATTCTTTTTTATACTTATTGGTCGGTCCAGCTCCCACCAAAGCATCTTTCAGTCTTGAAATACCTTCGTAACATTCCGGCCAACCTCTTCTGCTTATCCCTACAACCCAAATCCAATCCCAGTCTTTCAACAACCACTTCGGAAACCTCATAATCGACACCATCCTTAATTAACTTATCTTGGAGGTTCGAAGCAGTCCCCTTCTCTCCCTCAATTCTTGAAGAGCCACTTCCTACCTCAATGATGGCTCCTTCCTCCCCTTCCTTGATCTCAGTGGTCGACCCTTCTTCTGCCTTCTCCAATCCACCCTTGCTCACTTCCTTCACTACCGCCTCCCTTTTCAAGCCATCCTTCTTGTGACAAGCAACAGTACCCCCATTCTCTTGACTCAGACCAAAAAATGGGAGATGAAGAAAGTGGATCCTGCTTACCTTTAGATTCATCAAGAGGCAAGAACACCTTGTCCTGTGACTCTTGAAGTGCCTCGCTCAAACTCAAAAAAGTCTAGCCTACTCCTGAGCCATGCCCAATAAATCAAGCGCAAGAAACATCCACCTCCAATGAAAGATGCCCCAAGCCTTTGACTAGTTCTTCTTCTTCCCTTAATTCTCCCTAACCGAAACCCAAACTTGCCTTTACCCAAGATGCGGGGCCCACCCTTCTTAAAGTTACATACCAATCTCCTAAACTTGTAGGATTCACTCTTAAACTTAGCTGCATTCAGTCTCGAGGAAGAGCAACTAGCTTTATCGGTAATGCTCCCCCTCTTAAATGCTCCCTCTGCATGTCCCTTCTCCATTGAATACTTCTCAACTCCCTCCTAGAAAATTACAACTTCACCCCCCTTTTCCAGATTCTCCCCTCTCACCCCCTCCTGACTATCCGCCTGCCCGACCCTTCAGATTCCATCATCTTCTTCCTCCAGGCTTCTAGTCCCCTACTTCCTTTGTGAAACAGACTAACTCCTAAGTTTGATTAGGAAAGATCATTGGTTCCACTTGAAGCCAACGCAATGGGATGCATCCCTCTACCACTAACGTCAAATTGTACCACTCCCCAGCAAAGTTTAACACTAGGCTTAGGGGAATCAAGTGAAGGTTCTCAACTTCAACCAGGATTCTTGTTGTAACCAGATTCTTCAACTTATACATTTGGGCATGAACTCTTCTGAAACAACCACAAGCATTCCCAATGGCACAAAACGTATTAAGATTCCAAGCATGAAGAGGAATACCAAAGACAAAAATCCAGATAAGGCTTCTGCTTCCTACTTCTCGAATTGCCCTCACAAGAAGATTCCATCTACCCAGCCGAAGGCATAGTTATCAAGGTGACACCTAGGTGGGCACCTAGCCGCCTTGGAGGCTCACCTCACCCAGTCGCCAAGCAGTTTTGTGCACTGTGTTATAAAATACTTTTATATTTTTAAATTTTTGACATTACAATTATAAAATAGACATTATTAAACTAGAATACTCAGTTTATGTGTTTATATACTAATTTCTTTTTATTATTTTCTTATTTCTTAGGGCTTAATCAACACAAACATTGCTAAGTGTTGTAATAGAACCCATGGTTCAAAGTATCGATACACCTCTGTGTATCGGTAGAGGTGTATCAATACTTATAACGATATTCCCCCTATTTTTTATTTCTTTGGTTTTCAATTTTATACATACATATATATATATATATACACATATACATACATATATTATTTTAAAAAATGGGTTCCTGAAAACACCTGTAAACATGTGTATCAAGATGGCAAAGATACAATACAATACACTCGATACGGGGCATATCGTATTGAAATTTTGATCCTTGATTGAATCCTCAAAGATTTCAAAACTTGAACCAATAAGCAAGGGAAGAACTTAATCTTTTCCTATAACAAAAGTAGAGGTTCAGCCCCTATAGTTTTTGAATTTTCTTTCCTCTGTTCTTTTTCTTCTCATAAAATGTTGGTTTTCTAGACTTAAACAGGAAATTTATACTTCTTTTATGAAAATTATGGATAACTATTAAGGAAAGATGGTTATGGAACCTAGGGAACTACCCTAGGATATATGGTTTTACTTAAAAAAAATCCATCGCCTAGGCGACAAGGTGCCCCCCTGTCGCCTAGCCTCGCCTTGGCACCTTGAAAACTATGGCCGAAGGCCTGGAATCCTAAGCTTAGTAGTTTCACTCTCCAGGACTTCATCTGCCTCTTCCTTGCTACAGAAAATAAAAAGAAAGAAGCCTGCATTCAATTTTCTCACCTGAACGGCTTCTTTTAAACTTCATTCCAATCTGACCCATCTCAGAACCTCTACCTAATCAGGACCAGAGTTCACGAACCGACCCACAAGACACTTCTCTAATCACTTCACTCTCTCAAAGACTCCTTCACTCGAATTCACGAAGATTTCTTTCACCGTCATTGCCTTCTCTCAGGCCTCACATGCTTCCCGTCATGGCCTTCTCTCAGGTTTCACATGCTTCCCGTCAATCTGGGTCGGAGCTTCACATAACTATCTAGCATGCCCTCTTGCCTTATTTAAACAGTTAGTTCCTCCAGCCCTGTGTCTTAACCAAAAAGATCATTCCATCCATAAAGCCTTTGAACCAGTTTAGCACCTCCATGTTCATAACTGTTGTCTTTCTATCTTCTCTGATTTTCAGATCTGCTCCACCTTTAGTCTTTGATTCATCTAGAAGAAATCTCTTCTTCTCCACCTTGAGTTCTTTCTTCCATCTTGTCACCTGAACGAAGTCCCCCATCTTCCGTCCTCTATTAACAAAACTGTGACAATAATTGGATTTAATCTTCTAATACATTGGCAGGAAAGGGGAAAAATCTCAGGATAGAGATTACAAGAAAATAGAGATCATATCAGACCACAAGAAATAGAGTGTATCCATTTCTCAAAAGATTGAACAAACATTGTGAGGGCAACCAAAAAAAAGAAGGAAATTGTTTTGAAATGGACAAGGTAAGAGAACCCCTAGGGCAGCCAAAAAAAGTAATAAATAGGAAGCTTTTTCACATGTCTGATGGGTTTTTCCTAACTTACAATTTTTCTTTTACACAGTTTCATTACAGTCAACGTGGGAAAGCAGAGGTTCAGAACCTCCAAAGAAATTCCACAGATGATATATTTTTTTTTCTCTTTCAAATGTGATCCTATAAAGTAGTAAATGCAATGCTAAACAAGTTAAAAGGTACACCTAACCAACTAGCCATATCCACATTTTACAGCATAAACTATTTCAATTAATTATGAATTTCCCAACAAATAAAATTAAATAAGGAAGAACTAGACAACAACGAATGCAAAGCTAACCTTGTATCTCTTGTAGCTTTGTAAAGCCAATATGTGCTCTCCATTAATTCTGGACGCAGTGGATAGCTTTTTTGCCCATGCTGAAAAATGAGCGCACTTATAATAAATTCTTGGTTACTGATAAAAAAAAGAGATTGCAGTGAAACAATCACTTACCATAAAATAATGGAACAAAAGAAAGAATCATTCACTCATCTTGAAAGCAAGATACCTGATTTCTAGGAAGTATCGGAAGACATACATAAGCAAGGTACCTGGCTTTTTGTCCTGCCATATTTTATCCCAAAACTCAATTTAAAAAAAAAGAAAAAACTAATTTATCGAATTTTGGTAGTTCCTCACAAAAGGAATTTTTATCCTTTCATGGAAAACCCACTTAGAATGCCTACAAATTTAATTCCCCCATATAATCTACTATCCCAAACATAGTTGTAAAGCTTCATTAAAAAAAAAAAACATCCCTAGTCTTAGTTTTTGAATTTTTTATTTTTCCACCTCCCAAGGAGAACATGTACTTCTTGGTAACTTGACCCACAACCTTTCCAATTGCTATCAATCCATCCATACTTCAGTCCTAAAATCATCTCTAAGAATTTAGTATACCATCTTTTCCCTTCTAGATCATCCTTGGTTCATGGTTGGACCTACATCAATCTGGTCTTAAAGCGACCAGTCCTACATCACTAATATCTCTTCATTCTCTTCATCAATGATTTGACATCTAATTTGCACCATCAACATCATTTTATGGGATTCTATGCCTATTCAAAATTTCAGTTTGAATTTGTCCAATTTGGGATCATTCAACTATTTAGCTGCAATTTAGAGGAGGGCTTGTAATAGATTTCAATAAACAAAACAAGTTTTAGGAAGCTAAGGTTTAGACTTGGCTCTTGAAGTACCTAGGTTTGCCTTGGGGGAGGGGGGGGGGGGGAATCGAAGGAGCTATAGGCTTTGGACTGGAGAATAACTTTGATCAAATCTTCCAGTATACAACATTTCAGTGTTAAGGTACCTAAGAAAATAGGTAACTTGATGGAGAAACTAATGATGGATTTTCTTTGGAAACCTAGAGAAGGGAAGGACCATCTGGTGAAGTGGGAAACAGTATGTACAAGTAAGAAACAAGGAGGGGTAGGGGTAGGTAATGTCACTTGTAAAACTCAAGCTTTGTTAGGGAAATGATTGTGGAGATTGCCTTTGGAAGGTGAAAAGCTTTGGCATAAGGTGATAGTAAGTATACATGGGTTGATGCAAAACGGCTAGGATGCTGGTTTATTCAACAGAACATCTATGGTCTCTCCCTAGAAAGTTATTCATACGGTCCTACTTCTTTTCCTCAACCCTATCAGATATGATTTTTGGTCTAAAATTCTGTTTTGGGAGGACCTTTGGGTGGGAGGTGCTACTTTGAAAGACACCTCCCTTACCCTTTAGGCCATCTCTTTGTTAAAAGATGAGCCTATTTACTCCTTTTTTTTATTTATCTGATGGGTGACATGGGATTTGGGTTTCAGAAGTGGTTTGAGAGAGTTTGAGTGTTCCCTAGTCATTGATTTACTACAAATCCTTGATTCAGTTGCTGTTGACCCTCTCAAGTCTATGAGAGAATTTGGACCCCCAACCCCAGAGATTCTTTTTCTTGTGCCTCCTTCTAGACTCCAGTTTCTCTTGTTTCCAATGGGTTCTCTTTTCCGATGCTTAAGGTTTGGTGTAAACCAATTTCTTCAAAAATAGAGGCTTTCCGTAGGGAGGTTTATCGTGGAAAAATCAACAATCTGGACTTATTACAAAAAAGAAGAAAAATGTGTTTGTCCCCAGTATCACTAAAAATCAGGAACGCCAGCCCTTATTTATGTATCGTTCTTTTTTTCAAAAAAAAATCCAGTGGAGGATTATATACCTTGTTTGGCCTCTTTGCATACACTTGGAATGTGATGGAGGCGGTGTTTGACAAATCCAAGTATGTGGAGATGGCTGAGACATTTTATAGGTTGCTAGACTCCAAATAAAACCCCAAATGGTGACAAAAGCTTGTAGAGAACCCCCCCCTCCCCCCCCCCCCAAAAAAAAAAGAAGCATTTGGAAAATTCTTCTCACCTTCCTCTTGCTTTTTCCTCTTCTTCTACTTGCTTTTCCTTCTTACTTTCAGATCTCCAACAGCTGGCCAAACTCCAATCATTCTTTCTCTATTTTGTTTTTTTTTTTAAGAAACTAGAATAATGGTTTGAAAGAATGGAGGGGGACGGTGATGGTGTTGGTGAGGTATGTTGAAGAAAGTGCAGAGGCTAGAGAGGAGAAGATGTGGGAGAGGAGGTTAGTTTCGTTGAAAATGTTTGGGGGTAGAGAAGGTTATTTTTGTTTGAAGAATGAATAGAGGGAGAGGACTTTTTCTTTTTTGTTCGAATAGCCTTTTGGTAAGTAGAGGGTTTTGCCTTTTTATGCTAGAGAGAAAAAGGGAAGGAGAGAAGGTTCTTCTTTTAGAAGAAGGGGGAGTGGGCTGAAATTTCCAAAAAAGGAGAGGGGTGCCTAGGGTTTCCCCATCTGATGGTTGAAATTTAAAGAGGATTAAGTTGGGGAAATCCAAGGGCTAGGGTAATCACAAGTGGTAGGAGGCCTTCCTGCAATTTTCAAAAGATTAAGGGTTTACGGGGATGACCTAGAATGTAATTCTATGATATTTAAAGAGATATGGGCCTTTTGGATGCTCAAGATTGAGTAACCTCCCATGGAAATCTAACGACTAGGGAAGTGCCATGTGTGAAGAGTTTTTTTTGCAAAATCCAAAGATAAGAAGGATTTAATGGAGATGGCCTAAAAAATGATTTTTGGGAATACGGAAGGGTCCAAAAAAGAATGGGTGTCCAAGGTATTGGTAAGGTTTGGGGGTCTTGGGAGTTGTACTACGATAAAGAACTTAAATTAGGATAATTGTGGCCTATAAGGATGATTGATTTAATCTTTTCATACAAGGGGTAAAATGGGTATTCTGAGGCCTAAAATTTGGTGGATGGTCAATCAGGAGGTTTAGGAAGGTATTGATAGGGTTTTAGGGGTTTTGGGAGGTGTGTCATGATGAAGATCTTAAATTAGGAGAGTGGCAGCCAGTGAGGATAGTTTTAGAATCTTTTTATATGAGGGGAAAAATGGGTATTTTGAGGTATGAAATTTGGCCAATGGTCAATTGGGAGCTTTAGGAAGGTGATGGTAAGGCTTTGGGGTCTTGGGAAGTGTGCTACGATGAAGATCTTGAATTAGGAGAGTGACAGCTAATGAGGATAGTCGATTTGGAATCATTTTATACAATGGGTAAAATGGATTTTTTGAGGTTTAAAATTTGGTGGATGGTCAATCAGGAGCTTTAGGAAGATACTGGTAGGGTTTGGGTATCTTGGAAGTTATGCTGCAATGAAGAACTCAAATTAGGATAATTGCGGCCAATAAGGATGGCTGATTTGGTATCTTTTCATATAAAGGGTAAAATGGGTATTTTGAGGTCTGAAATTTGGTGGATGGTCAATTAAGAGGCTTAGGAAGGTGTTGGTAGGTTTTGGGAGTCTTGGGAGGTGTGTTGCAATGAAGATCTTAAATTAGGAGAGTGGTGGCTAATGAGGATAGTCGATTTGGAATCTTTTTATATGAGCGATAAATTGGGTATTTTGAGGTTTGAAAATTGGTGGATGGTCAACCAGGAGGTCTAGGAAGGAATTGGTAGGGTTTTGGGGGTCTTGGGAGGTGTATTACGATGAAGATCTTGAATGAGGAGGAGTAGTGGCCAATGAGGATAATCGATTTAAAATCTTTTTATATAAGGGTAAAATGGGGATCTTGTGTCTGAATTCCAAAATTTGATGGGTGGCTGATCGAGAAGTCTAGGAAGGTAACATCATGGTTTGGAGGTCTTGGGAGAGGTGCCACAATGGAGATCTTGGATTTTGAGAGTGGCGGGCAACGAGAGTGCTTGATTTGGAATATTTTCTGTAGGATGGAAAAAATGGGGATTTTATGGCTAAAATTTGGTGGATGGATATTTTAGGTTATTTCGAGTCTAATGGGGGTGTCTAACGAACTTAGAGATGCTGAAATCATGGGAATCTAGGATGTGGGTATTTTGACTAATGAGAGAGCTCGTAATAGAATTTTGGCTTGATGGAAGGGTAAATAAGGGAATTTTGGATTGAAATTTGGTAAAGTGGTAGGAATTTGGGTTATAGGATTAGTGGAAGGGTTTGATTGCATCGGGATGTGCAGATTACAGGTTTTGGGCTCAAAAAGTGTCATAGAACCAAATCCGTCAAAATGGAATCTTTGATGGATGGACAACGAAATGTTGGAGCTTAAGGATGTTAAGGGTTTTATTTCGTATTAAGGAGTCTGATCGTGTGACAGGAGTGGAGATGTGGCACAATTGTGATTGTTAGAAGGGAATCTTACATATTTAACAGTGGATTTGGGTATTTGAGTTGAGATTTGGGTTCCTAGGGTTCTAACATGTTATAAAGATAGTGATGGGGGTTGACCGAGCATTCAGAGTGTGAATAGGGTTGGAAACAAATTGTTGTTCAATACCCATTAGAGTTGTTATATGGGGCTTAAATAGCAAAAGAGTTAAATTTGGAAATGTTGGTTTTTTAAGGGGATTCTCAAGTGGTGGTGAGCTGGCTAAAGGACAAGAAGAAGGCAGCTTGGAAATATCGAGAAGGGGTTAAGAAAATCAAATGATTACTAAGGGGAACGACAGTAACTTTTCAATGGGTCCCAAGGGAGGCAAATGGGCTAGCAAGTTCTCTAGCTAGACAAGGGGTTGATAGGGAGCAACTGTACTGGGCTCTGTTGCAATATCTATACTCTTTGGGGTAACTATACCTATCTGTACTCTTTGGGGTAACTTTACCCCTTCCAATCCACATTATACATTCTTGTTTATATAAAAAAAACTAAGGTTTAGACTGAAATTCCACTTTTTTTCAGCCTATTTTGTTTTGTGATGTCAGCAGATTACCCTTGGTGCCAACTCAGGACCCCAAATCTGGATATATCAAATTCGTTACCATATTCAAACCATAGATTTCATTGAGGAGAACTTCATTTATTAGTATTATGTGCCAATCTAAGTTTTAGTGACAGTACCAGCAAAACATATCAACTGCCAGATAGCAAGTTCAGTCAGCAAAAAGTAACATAAAAGAGTCACTTCACAAGGGCCCTCAATCTGAACTGGAGCTGTCCCTTCTCAGTCAAGGACTTGATGCAAGAATGGGGCATTCCAGGTTTATCCAGGAAAGGGAAAGTTTGTTGATCAGCAGTTCCTTTGGCAGTTTTGTGGGCCATTTGGTCTGGAAGAAATTTGAGGATTTTCGAACAGATGGCTTCACCAAAATCTGTGGTGATTAATAGCGTAGTAGAGGATCTTAGAAGTTGGTTATCCATAAATACTGTATTTAAAAATGATACTTTCTCTTCCTTTTTGAGGGTGGATTCTTTTGGAGGGGGGGGGACTAAAATTACATTCTGGTACATTATCTCATGTACAGTTTCTTTCATCTTAATGAACTTATACTTTACCTTTTTCAAAAAAAAAAAAAAGCCTCTTACACTATCAAATTGCTTCATCTGTAAAATATAAAGTCCCTAAGGATCAAATTTAAAAAAATATAGAGACATCCAGAAGTTTGTGGTTGAAGAAGAAACCTGAACACTGAGTGTAGCAAGGTTAAAACCCTCTGGGGTGAAGCCATATTTTTTCCACACACTAAAGAAGGCTGCATGTGTACGAATAGCAGGATCAATATCCCCAGCTAGAACCTTCCAAACAACATGATCAATTTTCTTCACAGTCAATAATGCCATCACTTCTCCCAGGGGAAACAACATTTTGCCTGATAAAATGATAAAACATAGAAGTGTAAAATACCTGAAGTCCTGGCCAGAATGCCTGCAGACTATTAAACAGTGGCCAGACAATAACAGCAGAGTTCATATTCACCTCCACATACCTACAAGTATGTTAAGAGTTAATAAGCTAAATTCTAAAGAAAAAATAAACAATGAAAACAAAAATAACTAATCAATAAAAGGATTATTTTTTAAATGCCCACAGAAACGAGAAGAAATGTACCAAGGATCATTGTAAAGATAGTGCATTGCAGCCTTGTAAGCTTCTTGAAATATGAATAAGTATTCCTCATCTCCAAATAATAAGTAAGCCTGCAGTGCAATAGAAAGGCCAATAATGAAAAGAAAGGAGGACCAAGTTCACTGGCTTCCCTTCCTCCTTCCCAACTCAAACAAAAAGAAATGATAATAAGAAGTAAAATGCAGAATCTAATGAATCATCAAGAATGCAAGTTGCACCTTAGACCATTTGGCCAAGGTCATGCCTGACTATGCATCATGCATAAAAAACAATAAAAAAAGCAGTGCAATAGTAACTTCTTTGTTTCTAAGATAACAAAAATAGTGTTGATAGGCACATGAAGATGCACAATGCAAGAGGCTCTGCATGAGTGTCAAAAATCTTGAACAAAAAAATAGGTAATTTCTAATGAATTCATGTTTTATGATCTACTCCTAGATTCCTAGTCTCTATTAAAGTCAATGTGTCTCAGTCCTCATCTCTCTAAATCCCTTTGGAACCAGCACACAAATTACTTCCCTGGGCTTTGGCACCTCGAAAAATCCTTCTACTGTCTCACCTTTAAATATCATCATGTGCAGATCCATAACTTAAGAAAGTCTAAAAACCTAAGTAATGTTTCATGAGCAGAATTCAAGAAGTGTTTCATCCTTGAATGGTTTAGTTGTTGAAGGGAATATTAAGCTTCAATGTCCTCATTCTGAATGCACAAAATTCACGGTTGGCAATATAACAAAAGATATTTACTGATAAAAAAAAAGAATGTAACAAGAGATATTTTGGGAAGATGAATGGTATAAAATTGGTTTTCCTGGTTGTGATTGAATTGATCTTTGAGACATCTGTAGGTCCATAAGTCATTACACTTTTTGTTGGAGAAGCCAAGGCCTTGACATCTATGCTGAACTGCTCGTTTAGATGGATACCAAGATCAACAAGCTTGTGGATACACTATCCAGGAATAATGTTGTAAGAGCTGAAATGTTGTGAGGAACTCAAGGCCCAGGTGCTGATTCATAGTATGGCTTCTTGTACTTCTGACCTTGTTATGGTCATTTTGTAGAATAGGAGAGTCTTTTCCTCCTAATTTTATACTATATATAAAACCCAGATCATCACTTTTTTGCTGCACCCTTTGATAGTCATTATCATTAATGATCAAAAAGTATTATGAAATTACACTTTGAGAGATGAGTGGAACAAGGGTAGAAGATCAGCTTTTTGGAGAGATAAGTGGTGTTATAACAGTCCTTTGGAGCAGGTGTTCCTCCATTGTGGTGGACTCTTATCAATTGTTGGGAGCATATGGGAAGATAGAAATGCAAGAACATTCCAAGAAAAAGAAACAAGTGTGGAAGCAGTAATTGAGTGCATTACACAAGGGTAATACATTGGGTAAAAACTACGGAGTTATTCTCACAGTTCTCCTTTGTTGATATTTGGAGGAATTGGATGTCAGTGGCAAATAGCTCATAAAGAGAAGGTAGTTTCCAGTTGGGCTCCTCCTGAAGAAGATTTTATTAAACATAACTTTGATGGTAGCAGCCAAGGTAACTCAGGCCCCTCAGGAATAGGTGGTGTATTTAGAGATAAAGATGTGAGTATAGTGACTTTGTTTTCAGGTCCAATTGGTATGGGGGATTCACTGCACTTGAAGGAAGTTCAATTAGCAAGGAGGCTGAATTTTGACAGGTTAGTCATTGAAGAGGACTCCAAAGTGGTGATTGGATGGTTGAGGAACCTGGAAGAAGCAATTTGAATTTATAGAGAGGAGATAAAGAGGTTCAAATTGCAAGTCAGTAATATGAATGTAAGAATACAGTGGCAACGAAGATCAGCTAATTGAATCGCAGATACTCTAGCTAAGGGGTTTCTAGGGACCACTTATTCTGGGCTTAGTGTTATAATCTGTTGATGATTTCTAGGAGAGGTTGCACACACCTCTTGGTGGATCTCTGTAACATTGTTGTTGGTACTAATAAATTCTCTTACTATTTATCAAACAAAAAAGAAGACTCTTATCAATTGCTGGAAGGTAATGTAGTGTGGTCACCTAAGTTCCATGGAAACTGCAAGATTGGGAGTTTGATAGCCTGCTGCAGTTGCTTCAGCTTCTTGGGAATCAATCTATTAGACTGGGACAAGATGATGCTTGGGCCCTGAAGTGGCAAAGTGATGGGAACTTTTGGTTAGCTCTTTAGCAAAGAACCCGAGATCTATCCTAAGTTCTTTCTTTCCTAGCTCTTTGGTTTGGAGACAGCATGTGCCTTATAAGGTGATGCAGCTCAAGTATGAAGAAAGATAATGAAAGAAATTTGCTCAAAAAATAGTAAAAAAAAGAAGAAAATTGGATTAAACTTCATTAATATGAGATGACTTACAATAAAAGGAAATAAGGTTGGGGACTCACTCACCCAAGAGAGGATTCTCTCAACTCTCAAACAAAGCTCTATGCTTCTTAAAACAAAGGGAATAACTTGATTACTTCTAGCTTGAGATTACAAAGCTTTATATAGATAACAAAAACTAGTTGTTTGAACATTTAATGTAAAACTAGCCATCAGAGCATTTAATAAAACAAGCTGTTAGAAGTCCACTAACAAGCTAGCTATTAGAAACCCACTATCCAAAATGGCTATTGAAAGCCCATTAGTGAGTTCAAATTTAGGCCTACTTGTTTTCTCCTTTTAAAATGATATTGTGCTTCTTGGGGCATGAACTTGAACTGCATCAATTAGTCCCCAACCTTATTGCCTCATATTGTAAGCCATCTTATATTAATGAAGTTCCATCTAATTTTCTTCCTCTTTTTCCTTTTTTTTCTTTGAGAAAATTTCTTTCATTATCTTTCTTTATATTTGAGCTGCATCAATTGGTATCAGAGCGGGTGTAGTTAGAGTTTGTAACTTCATTACTCAACCCTCTTTCCTCATCCAAAATAGTATTGCAGTTATAGAAAATAGGTCAAATGACATCCCAATTCCAGCAATGAAATCTTCATCAAATTGGGTCATGCTATATATCATTGGAAAGCTCTCTGAGTGTAATTTCTAATGCCACAAACAGTTCATCAATCAAAGTTTTCTACAAAAAGTTATAAGTGAAACAAAATTGGTCAATGAAACTGGCTGCATATCTAAATCTTTCAACGAAGTAAGATATCATGCCAAGTAAGAATCAACACAAGGCTCCAATTCAAAATGCCCATCTGTGTGAAGAAATCAATGAGCTCAAGAATGGCTACAAAAACCTTCAATGCATGATGAAGAAGATTTTACGAAGGCTTCCAAACAAGTTCCTATGAATGACCATATTGCTCCAACCTTATCTTTGGATCAAGCCTTGAAAGATTGTAATGACAATCTTATGTTGCCTTTTTCATTAACAATGCCAAAGGAAAAAGAGTACATTGACCGGGATAGCCCTTCAAATTTTGATGAAAATCCTATTACTTATGAGAAATCTTCTATCACTCGTGATCAATTTCAAAGTGATAGAGAAAATGTTGATTGAGATAGCCCTCCAAAGTTTGATGAAGAGTCTATTACTTATGAGAAATCTTCTATTGTTCACGATCAATTTCAAAGTGATGAAGACTTGATTGGGATAGCCCTCCAAAGTTTGACGAAAAGTCCATTACTTATGAGGAATCTTCTATCGTTCGTGATCAATTTCAAATTGATGGAGACAGCATTCATCAAGTAAGAACTTTTAACTACATCTTTTTTATACAAGTGTATGAGGACCCTTACTGGGAGCCATTTTCTCCAAGTTTAAAATGGTTGTTAGATGAAGAGTTGGGCTATTTGAAGCACAAGAAACATGTTTCAACAGCTAGGAGACATGATGTAGGAATTCTGATCAATATTGGAGATTTACATCATCAATTGCCTATCAAAGGATCAGTAATAGAAAAATGCAGCGGAAGCATGGTGATAAATCATTTTGTTAAAGTTCTTAAAACTCAAGGACGAGTTCTTTTCAAGAGGGGGAGACTGATGCAGTTCAAGTTCATGCCCCGAGAAGCACCATATCATTTTAAAAGGAGAAGACAAGTGGGCCTAAATTTGAACTCACTAACGGGCTTCCAATAGCCATTTTGATTAGTGGGCTTGTAACAACTAGTTTGTTAGTGGGCTTCTAACAGCTAGTTTTATTAAATTCTCTAATGGCTAGTTTTACATTAAATGTTCTAACACCTAGTTTTTGTTATCTATATAAAGCTTTGTAATCTCAAGCTAGAGGCAATCAAGTTATTCCCTTTGCTTTGAGAAGCTTAGAGCTTTCTTTGAGAGTTGAGAGAGTCCTCTCTTGGGTGAGTAAATCCCCTCTTCTTTGGGTGACCGAGTCCCCAACCTTGTTGCCTCATATTGTAAGCCATCTCATATTAATAAAGTTCCATCCAATTTTCTTCTTCTTTTTCATATTTTTTGAGCAAATTTCTTTCATTATCTTTCTTCATATTTGAGCTGCATCATAAGGCCAGCTTTCTGATTTGGTCAACTACCATTGGGAAGTGTTTAACAAGAGATAGCCTACTAAGAAGAGATGTTGACATCCAGGACAATTTTTGTGGTTTGTGTGGGAGGGTGGCTGAATGTGTGGACCACCTCTTCTTTTATACCAAAATAAAATTCATTAAAAGAAAAAGAAGTGTGGACACCTCTTCATTCACTGTCATTTTGTCCAAGCCTTGTAGGTTCATTTCCTGAAGTCAGCCAGTCTATGTTGAATTTTGCAACAGTTCCTCCCTGATATGCTATCTAGTTGGCAGCAGCATGGCATGAGTAAGAATGGAAAATCAGTGTAGGGAATGGTGCCTGCAGCTGTGGTGTGATCAATCTGAGCTGAAAGAAATAGAAGGATTTTCCTTAAGAGGTGCAGATTTAAGGAGGACTTTATTAACTTTGCAATCTGCAAGCTTGGCCCTTGGTTTTCTGATACTAAGGGAAGTGGTCATCTATCCCTTTGGCCTTCAGCATTTGGAGTCTTGGAGGATACATTAAGAGAGAGAGAGAGAGAGAGAGTGCATGTGTGTGTGTGTGTTGTTGCTGTGGTTTATGCAAAAAATCTTTACCTTTTTAAAAAAAAAAAAAGTATTATGAAATTAGGAGGTTATGCAACTTGCATCCAAGACTTTATTGTCTAAGATACGGGTATCAATCATTTGAGGAGATTTGGGGTGTGGGAAAGGCAATGAATGGAGATAAGATTCCAAGCTCAGATGGTTTCAACATAGCATGCTAAAAGCATGATGGTTGCTGATCAAGGAGGAGAGTAGGAGACTATAAATATGTTTAAGGATTTGCAAACTAACAAAATCTGTAGAGAAAAGTGCAAATGCAACATTTATCTCCTTAATCCAGAAGGTGGAAGGGGCGATAGAAATAAACAACTTTAGACTTATAAGTCTTACCTAAAGGCCATTACTTGATGTTGGTCCCAGCTATCTGCAGTCTTGGGAGGGGTAGGCTGGAATCTGGAATACAGACCTAACTTCTGGCTTTTTTCTGCAAGCATAGCCGATCACATACTCAAATCCATGTTCACACAAATGGCAGCCCAAGATTTTACCATTACAGCAAGCCTGTATACAACAAAATCTATATCCTAAGAGAAAGGCTTCGCACTCTGCAGCAGAACCCTGCTCTCCCTACAACTCTAGCTAAACTGTCTGTTAAAGAGTTAACAGATCTCCAATCCATCTGACTGAAATATTTACTCAAGATGACAAAGCTCTAGCCTCCCACATGATGTGCTGATTTATGAAGTATTTGCACTTAATGATTCCTATGCATAATTAGCTCCTAATTGATAGGACCCTATACTTTATTAATTCTTAGTCAATGCCTCAGGGATCCAACTCCCTATTAATGAAACCCACCACTTAACACTCTAACTTTCAGTGTTTACCTTTTCACCCAATCTTTGGCTTAAGTCCCAAAGTTGGTACTTCCATTGTTACCATGTGAAGTCTCTATCTCCCATAGTTCTAGGGGTGTCAACGGTATTCGAAAATCCGATTTTGAATTTGATATTTGACATAATCAAATCAAATTCAGATAATTCGAATATCTATCGGTCGAATTCTGATATCCTATTCTTACCAAATAGTTAATCGGATTCGAATTCAGATATGACCTGATTTGATTCGATAAATATCCAAATTTGACTGATTATTTAATTCTTATATATAATATATAAAATATTTTATGTAATATATATAATAATTAATTTATCTAAATAATTTATATATTTATATACTTTATATCAATAAAATATTTATTTTATATATTTATTAATTATCTAAAATAATTAATTAATCAAATTCGAATCGTATCGAATATTCGAATATTTAATCGGATTTGAATTCAGATATTAATTTTCAATATCCGTCAGATATCGAATCGAATTTGGATATTGGATTTTCTAATTGGATTCGAATTCGGATATTGCCTGATCCGATTCGAATTTGATCCGTTTACACCCCTACATAGTTCTTCCCCAATGTTCTTTTCCTTTTTTGACAGCATGGACCAAACCATTGGGTCTTTATTGGATCTTGAGATTGGACTGAATGATGCACCATTTTTGGATCTTCAGACTAGACTAAAGAGCCTTTAATGGATATTTGAACCTTGAGATTGGGTTGAAAGTAGGTCCAAACATTTTGGTTTGGTTGTTCCTGCATCAATCTGCTAGTTGGGCCATTTAAAGAAGTTTATACAACCCAGGAATCTTCCATGTGGAAATATAATTTGGTGTGGATTAATGAAAAAGCCGCTTGTGAGCATTTTATCAATCAAAAGTTGAAACTACCAATGACTAACATCACAAGGCCAGAACTTCACTAAAAGGGTATAGTGCTTGTGAAGCCTGGGAATTATACATGGATAATCAACAAGGTCTCTGATTTGATGGATAGTCTCAGCATGATTCCAAACATGGCACAAATAGGAGGGTTCATCCAGACAAAAGGAAATCATAACTGGCCCAATTAGAATACAGTTTCACACAAACAGATATACGCATGTTAAAATATAAGTAACACTAACCTTATATGGACTTTATCTCTGCAAAAAGTACTAAGGATTAAGGAATTAAACTAATGATGGCCTCATAATTTTTCTAAACCTTGGGATAATGCACCTAATATATTAGTCTTAAAAAACAATCATGCAGGCAATGAGGTTTCTCCTTTTATACAACAAAGCCACCATACCTTTAGAAGATACTCATAAAAAGAGTCGATACTGGTACCTATTCCAGCATCCTGCAAAGCAAAGCAATCAGCTTAGAAGTAAGAAATGAAGCAGAGATTATCAGCTAATTTAGGGGTGCTCCCCCATATGTATGATTTAGTTTTTCAAAACAAAAATTAGCTACCATATCAGTAAAAGCAATATGATTTTGCTGATGTGGCAGTTATTTTTGTTTTGAAAAACAAAACCATACACATTGGCAAACACCCCCTTATCTAGAAATTTCTGCAGTAATGTTCTGTGCATTTTGTCAGTATTATTGTGAAAACCACTGATCATCCTCCTTGGGACATGGCTTTCTACTATCCCTTTTCTTCTCATCTCCTCCATGTTTTTTTTTTTCTTTTGATAAGTTATCTCCTCTTCCATGTTAAGAAATCCCATTCTTAATAACAAAGAAACATGTTTAAAATTAGGTTGAAGTTGCTAAAAGAGCTGTTTAGAAACATTTTTTGTATCAAAACATATCTTCAAATTCTAACTCCTAGTGTGTTGAGTGATGAAAGATTACATTGCTAGGATCAGCAAAGCATATGCACTAACTAGTAACCTTGATTGTATTGTTTAGTAGACTAGATCCATTAAAGGACCATTTTTGAGGAATTGATTTTGGGTTCTGAAAAGACCGCAGGCATACTAAATAGGTAGATCTAACTTTATTATAGCAAGTGTGAATCTGTTGATGTGCTCTCCAAGAATTAAGCTTGGCTGTCTACTACATAAAGCTGTCTAAATATTCTTTAGACAACACTTTGTTCCTCAAAATTGCTCATCTTCTTAATAAAATTTTTACTACATCCGGTATTGTTGAAGGCTCCAATCATTTCAAAGTTCAAAACATTAACCCAATGATTCATCATGCTTTACAAAGCAGGTATGATGTACCACCAACCCTTTAATACCACTGCCCTCTGAAAATATGAAGAAAAGGCTTCAACAAAGACTAACATTCTCCATATGCTAATCAAATATGTACTACTATCCCAATCCTAAAAGAACCCACTCCCTAGGTTAAATAGGAAACCCCACCAAAGTGCTAGAATTTTTTTGATTACCACTAAAAATAATTTTCTCATCAGTTGTGGAATGTTCAATCATTATAAGAATGATGAACGAAGAAGAAATCCCAAGTTTTCAGCTCTAAAAGAACCCTCTAAAGAGAACCATCAATTCCCAAGTATATTGGCATTAATGTTGGAAGGAGATAGCAGAAATAAATCTACAAGAAATTCTTCATATAAAAGATTAAAAAAAATCAGATTAACAATCATATTTAATCAAGCTGCTATGATAAATCCCGTTCGTGCAACAAAAAAGAAACCTTGATTAAAAAGCCATAACTAGAAGTCAGGGCTTTCACTAAATGAAAGAGCTAGTACCATCTTTAACCCAGGGCACAGACGCACAGTTTGAGCATATGATACATGCCAATTGTGTTTGGAGATGGTTTGATGCTCTATATTACACATTTGAATGTTATATGCATGTCCACAAGTATCAGTTAGCAGCTAAACTACTAAATTAATGTTACAAAAGAATTTTGGAGCATTACCTTCTGGGTCCATTCACCTGTGAAGACATTGATATGAGCACCAACAAGGTTCAGTTTTGAGCGGCGGGCCCAAATACCACGCACTGCATTTTTTGTGACTTGCTGAAAAACTGCAAAATCATTAAACAAATCATGTTCACTGTTTTTTCATTAAAACATGCTCATTGTCAAAATAACCTTTTCAGTCACTGTACATAAATTTATATACTTTTTTTCTTTTTTATTGGCATATATATAAATATAAACAGAGAGAGAGAATATTAAAAAAGGTGGACCAGTCCCCACCAGGCAATACCCATTAGATCTAGATATGGTATGCACTGTTGGGAAAAAGAGCATGTTTTGATGGCTAGGGGTGTCAATTGGACCGGATTTGGTCCAATCCAATCCGGTCCAATAAGAGTCCATTACAAATGGACCAGGTCCAGTCCAATCTGATGAACTCTGTACCATTTTAAACCAGCACAATTCAATGTCTGGAATCTGGACCGTCCAATCTGTTCAAATTGGCTTTAATTTAGATTGGTTCCAACCCAAAATTGGTCCATTGACACCTGTATTCTTATCTTCTATCAATGAAACGGACCCAATCCAATATAAATCCATTAAGGATGGACCAGGTCCAATCCAATAAATACCTTGGACCATTAAGTCTGGACTGGTCCAATTCAATGTGTTGTGGGTCCATCCAATCCATTCAAATTGATTTTGATTTGGACGGGGTCCAACCCAAAACCAAAATTGGTCCATTGACACCTGTATTCTTATCTTCTATCAATGAAACGGACCCAATCCGATATAAATCCATTAAGGATGGACCAGGTTCAATCCAATAAATACCTTGGACCATTAAGTCTGGACTGGTCCAATTCAGTGTGTTGTGGGTCCATCCAATCCATTCAAATTGATTTTGATTTGGACGGGGTCCAACCCAAAACTGGTGCATTGACACCCCTACTGATGGTACTTCAAGCAGACTAAGAAACTAGAAAAGGGAGGGTACATACCAGAAATACAAAATGAACGTACCATGTCAAAAAGAAAGAATAGAGAGTAAAATATTAAGAGTATTCTAGATACAGTATGTCCAACTGTGGGAAAAAAGCATATTGTATGGCATAAGAATTGAGGCACACTGAAAATAGAAAAGACAGCACATGTACTAGAAAGTGGAAACATAAAAAAAAAAGATTATATCAAGTGTAAAAGAAATAAGAGCAGTAAAATAATAAAAGAAACAATGTTGAAGAGGACTGTAAATTACTAAATTAATCTCAAAAGCTACATTGTTATTAAGTTTCAACGAATTTTATTTCCCATTAGAGGACAGATAAACCACCGAAATAACATATCTGTGATATAATTGAAAGTATATTATGGAGACACTGAAAATGAGACAACTTTACATATTGAAGGCATAAGTCATGCTGGATGTGGACAAAATATTCAAAACTGGATAACAGCAGATGATAGAATTATAAGCTTAACATAAACTTTCTTTTTGATAATTACGCTTAACATAAACTTTGCAGACAAAAGCAACTACAATAATCACCTGGGTTGTTTGTTAAAATACTCAGTATTCCAAATTCTAGGGTTAAAGTCCCTCCACCAGCCGTTGATGTTATCTAAAACAGCCAAAAGAACTTTAGGATTTCTACCAAATAGTATTGTCATGCAATAGAGAACAAATGGAAAAGGAGAAGAAAATGAAACTTTTTTCTATCTATAACAGATCAATGAAAATTTTATTGTGGAATAAAAGAGTACAATAAATAGAAAAAAAAAAGCCTGGCATAGGTAGCAGAACCCAAGAAGTGGCATATCCCAACAAGAAATTACTCAATTAGATTGATCTGTCCCCTTGGGACAGTCCCCAATATTAACTTCCCTATTTGTTCCTTCACTAGCTAGTGGATCTGTAAAAAAGTCAGTAGTTATTTGGATCCAGCTGATCAAAGTGTTCCTACCGCATGCCAAAGATCTATCTTTCCTTACAGAGTGTAGGTACAGCCATTGGCCCAACTCATTACCCCTTGTCCATCCTATAAGCCTCAGATAATAAGTGGCCAAAATATCTACTTTGAAAGCAGAGTAAGGAGAAATTTGTAATGAGTACTGCCATAGCATTTACAATGCTTAGTCTTTGTTTGAAGTCATTGATTCTTAGAAAATTGAATGTATTAAGACTAGACCAGATGATATGGTTCTTAAGAAAGTCAAAACTGTTAACAGTGCACAAAATAACAAATTAAAATATAAAGGCATGGTGAACAGTATAAATATACAATATAGTTTATTGAAAAACTCCCAGGAAATCAACAAGAAACCTAAGCTGATCAACATGTCAAAGATCACCATCATACAGATGTGATAATAGAAGTTTTGACATGTGTGTGTATGAAGCAATATGTAAAGCTGAGAGTTATCTATAAATTATTTGGAAGTCAAGCCAAAAACACAGAGAGAGAGAGAGAGAGATTGTGTTGTTTACAGAGAGTCAAGATTGTGTGATGTTGACACATTTACAGACAGTAAATCAATCTGTGACAAGATTTTTCAATTCTTTTGAAACATCTGGTTAAGAGTCTCTTGTTTTACGATTTATTTGTTCAGTGTTTGTTTTAGAAGTTGCTTAATATCCACAAACTCATATCAAACTTACAATGGTTATGAAGCCTACCTTTGGATTTGGTTTAAGAGTAAAATGTAATGTTGAAGTCATTCTATCTATGGGTATGAATTGAGGAGTTCTTAGGTGCCTTTTACATTAGGGAAAATACAAGTAAGGTCCATAATATAGATGTGAAAGAGAATGAAAAAATTGATAATATCATTTTTCCTTTTGGCTGATAAAAATATTGCTTTTCCTTTTGGCTTCTTTTTATTGGGAAAAGTGCTCAAGAACAGTTAGGTGTGACTCTATACTTGATAGAAGACAAGTGTGACTCCTCTAGCTATTTCTTCTTCTCTTAATCTTTGTTTTTACTTATTCTAAGATTCTATCTTTTCCATTGTTCATTTTAGATTCAATCATCAGTAGATATCCCTACATCAGCCCAACAGTATGAATTGTTAGATGAAAAAAGTACAGAAAATATAGAACAGCTATACCTTGCTTTCATTTTCATCAACTCCATGCAATAGATTGACAGATCCAAACGGGATTCCTAATATACATTACAGTTAAAAAGAAAAATCATAACATGGAAAACTAAAAACTTGTTAAAAGCATCTTAAACTTAGAATTCCAGCAAATGAATTGTTATACTCTCTACTCAGAAAGTCAAAAGTGCCTGCTGTCCAATAACATGCTCTACTAAACAAGTATAATAACCATTAGGAAGCAGTAAATACAAAATAACTTTAGCACCACCCACTAGTAAGTGTTTTGCATCAAAAGAAGATAGATAGTTTGAATAAGATTTTGGAAGCAACTAATATACTACTGCCAAAAAAAAAAACATAAAATAGGTTCAAAATTGAATTTCCTAAGTCCTAACATCCCAGAGATTACTCTTTTTGTCATAAAAACCAGCAAAATCCTTGCATTTTTGCAGAAGACAATTTCTTTCCTTGTTAAATTTCAAAACAGAAAAGTTTTGCACATAGACAGGCATGGAACTTAGAAGCCATGCATGTCCAGGAGTTTGATTTAGAAAGATAAATACAACATGAGCTAGGAAACATCAAAAGAAATGTATGTACCATTAAAATAGTCCATAACAATGTATACTCATAAAAGAATATGTCTATAGTCGAGTTTTGAAATTTAAAAAAAAAAAAAAAAATCTATAAGAAAAAGACCAACGTGTTTCTAACTTGGAAACTTCACAGTTTATGAGAGTCCATGTAACACTGAACATAAATAACTTTTAGAAAGAATGAAACCCTGCTAATATTCCTACAGCAGATGAAAACACATATCTACCTTTAGGAAAAAAAAAGTGAAAATCATTTCCCACCCCACCCCTTTTCCTGCTTTAAAGCAAAAAGCTTATCCAAATACCTGCCTAGGTTTGACATCATCAAGTTGATGTGGCAAGCCTTACAGAATTTTGATGTGGCAAGCCTAACAGGGAATATATATGTTTCATGGCAGTATTATATCTTTTTTTTCGATGAATATGACAGTTTTATATCAATAACAGATAATTCATTGTTGAAAAGAAACTTAGATGCAGGGAAGACAGGCCTAGTTACCTCCAAGAGGCTGAAAAAAAAGGAACTGCTATGGTGAAAAAAAAATGCAGCCATAAACTACTCAGGAATACCAGCTCCCTGAAAAGGTGACTCCTCAAAACCCCTCCCTAAGCACAATTGTTTATGGCCAAGTTAGCAGATCTTAGGAGTAACCTAAACGAGATATTCAACCCTGACACCAAAAGCTCTAATCCCTCTCCATATCTTGCCACATGTTCCATGTTTCAAGGATTGGGACCTGCCATTGGATGGTTCCCACTAGACAGTGGGCATATTGAAAATCAGCAAACTAAGATGGCCTTTAACCACCTGGTTTGGGTTTTATGTGCATAGCATTTATCTATCTACTATAAAAAAAGAGTTTTCGTCAATGATCAACTTTTTATATCCTCGAAGTACCCCTCTAAATTCACTAATACTCACTTTGTTATCCCCCCTCTCCCTCATTCCTTTCTCCTATTATCTCTCTACTCTGTCATAGACCTCATGGTATTGAGACAGTGTTACAATGCACATGCATCCACATGCCACAATTTGAATTTCACAGAAGGCCTCTCTGTTATAATATATTTGTGATATTGACACATGATGCACATGATGGGGTTGGAACCCACCCCACATTGATAAGATTCTCGCCCTAAAGACCATTGGTCAATGGTCAATTTAACCGTACATCCACAGACAAAGGATCAATCCTTTTCTAGCCTAGGTAGTATTTAAAACCAATGCTCAAAGAACTGGACCAGGCATCAACTAGGATGGGCTTTTTTTTTTTAAACTGAATTAGTACTACCGGTTTCTGGAAAAACCGGTAACTGGAACCGAACTGAAGTCGATCGGTTAACCGGTTGACCAGTTTGATTCTTCAATTTTTTTGGCTTTTTAATATTTATACTATATGTTATAAATAAGTATATAAATATATAATAGAAAAGCTAGAAATACATATAAAATATTATACTTTAAATAATAAATAATATATTACATATTATAAATATATATAATGCATATTTATTAATTTATAATATATGGATAATATAAAATATATATGAAAAATATATATAATATACATAGAATATATAGAAGTATATGTATACCAGTCAGTTCAGTTAACCGCCGGTTTTTTATTTTGGTACCTTTGTTTTTTTAAAAATACCAAACTGACCAATCCAGTTAAGCGGAATTTTCAGTTCAATTTTCTTGCTCACCCCTAGGGGTGCAAATGGATCAGATCATGATCTGATCCAATCCGAGATCCGATCCTATTTGGTCGAATTCGGATCACCCCTATTCAGATCTTCGGATCGAATTCGAATCACCCCTATCCAATCCGGTATATATTATATATTTATAAATAAAAACATATAATACATATATATATATGTTATTTATTTATTTATAAATATATTTTTTATATTATATTTTTATAAATTTGTTATATTATTTATTTTTTATAAAAAATATGTATATAAATATATATGATGAAAATAATTAAAAAATACTTGCCTTTTTTGTTTTTACTTTATTTAAATTAGTACATTTTATTTTCTTTTAATAATTTATTAATTTTTAAAGAAAACAAGTTGGATAAGATCAGATTCGAAGATCCGACTTACCGATAGGATTCAAATTCAAACAAGTCCTATCACATCCGATCGGATCTGACATGAACAATGTCGGATCGGATTCGAATACACCCTGATTCAAATCTGATCCAATCCGTTTGCATCCCTACTCACCCCTAGTTCTATTTACCATAATAGAGTGGTGACATGACCTAACACACCCCTTGGTCCATCTACACCATCTATCTCCAAAGCCAAAGCTTCTCATTACACCCAAAAGAAAATCCCAATCCAGCATATCATAAGCCTTGTCCAAGTCTAGCTTGCACACCAAACCTCTCCTCCCGCCCTTTTGAATTCAATCCAAGATGTTCAAATCTGATCGGATTTAGATGGCACTCAGATTTGGGTTTTAGCTTTCATTAATTGAACCCATTTATAATCCGAACTATTTTGAGTTCTGTTTTGGATCTCGCTTAAGCTCAATAAGTTTATGTAGTTCTACTTGATTAATGACCAATATTCACATAGCTCAAACCCAAAAGATAAATGAGATAGGCCATTAAGTTCATGATGAACAAACAAATTAGGAAACAAAATTGGATTTCATTTGTGATTAAAGGACATGAACTAACTTTTTAACCTAGATTAGGAAATGAAAATTAGTTTTCTACCTATTGGGTTGCTTCTGTCATCTCGTTTTGAACATGTTGATTTTTCAAGATATAAATTTTAGTTATACTTATAAAATGATCCTTCTTGACCCATTAGAATTAACCTAAGTGTTGGACTTTAAGTGATCCTCAAATTGGGATTTAAGAAGATTTCATTAAATTAACTAAAGAGGCACAACAAGTAGTTGTGAAGGTTACAAATAGACACCAACTGTCCAACCCCCAAAGTTACACCTGAGCCCAAAACATGGTGTCTACATACCCCTTGTTTGGCTAAACTATCCGCTAAACTGGTGGCCGATCTTCTAATCCAATTAATTTGAATCAACATATCCCTGGAGAGCCTTTTGAACCTCCTAAGATCATTCCTTAGGTGCCATGAAACTCCTTCCCCTTTCTTTAACCAATCCACAACTATTTTGGAATCACCTTCAATAATTAGCCTATCTAGACCCAATTCCTTTGCTTTCTCAAGCCCATAGACAGCTGCTAAGAATTCTGATGCAACATCACTTTGCCCACCTGGGCCCAAGAAGAAAGCACATATATTACCTTCATCATCCCTGATAGCCCCTCCGATTCCAGTGGGGCCTGGATTACCCACAGTACTCTCATCAAAGTTCATCTTCAAACCAACCACAGGGCAGGGGGGACCAGTCCCCCGTTGCAATATGTCTTTTAGAAGAGGAAGCTGTTATAGCCCCCCACACCCTGAAGAAATATCGAACTTAAAGTCTAAAAACAAGTTGACAGTCTAAACCCAATTAGCCACTCATAGAGTTATGACTTCAATCAGTGCTCCTTGTTCCTCTCCTTTTCCCCAAAGATTCTAGAATTTCTTTCCTCACAAACTGATCAAATAGCTGCCGCCCTTGTGCACTTCCACAACAGCTTACCCCGTTTAGTAGAACACCTACAAATAGAAGGGTTGAACATCCCTTCTGAGCTAACAGGAGAGAGCCACCTGCAACCAAAAAGTGAAGCAAACTATTCCCAAATAAAGCTAACAAAAGGACAGGAAATTAGAAGATGGACTGCAGTCTCACCATTAAGCTTAAACAAGCTGCACCAGTTTGGCGACAAACACAAATTGGCCTCTTCCTTCAAAGCTTATCGCAAGTATTAATGCAACCATGATACACTTCCTAACAGAAAGCACCAACTGTAGGAGGGATGGGAGAACACCAAATTTCTTTAACAGGGAAAGGGGAAGGAGGAGAGGAAGCTACAAGAGAGTAAAAGAAGGATTTACAAGTGAAAGCCCCAGAACACTCAAGGCTCCAGACCCTATTGTACTCACCCCTGACCCCAAGAACCACTGATTCAATAGAGAGCGCAAACCGGTAACAAGGGGAATTTCACTCTCTAAGATTCCTAACAAAGCCCAAGTTCCAATTAACTCAGAAGGAGAGGAAGAGGAGAAAACGAACTCAGTCATTGTTCTGCCTATGAGGATGGATAAAGCATAAAGTGAGGGGAAGATCCCCATCAAAGGGGATTCCCAATCCAGATATCTTCCCAAAACCTGAAGCTGATCTTAAGACCAGAAACCAAGTCATACCTGATGTGATTGAGGAAGGCAGGAAGACAACTTCGACACCTCCCACCTGAGCAGATGATCTTTCTTCCCTTCCCTAGGCTCCCACAAAAAGTCTCTCATAATCTTTTCCATCTTTCTCACAATAGCCAAGCGCATCCTAAAAATTGACATAAAGTAGACAGGAAGAT